TGAACAGAAATCTGCTGTAAGACTAGCCGATGCGGGTAAGCCATTTAGTGCACTAAGGTAACACAGGCCTGAAGCCACAGAATGACTGAAGACCTGAGCTGCTAATTTTACACTCATAGCACTAAGGCAATCCACATTTACATGGCGGTCTGTTAATTTCGGAACACATCTGTGAGGCATTTTACGATCAAATTCCCACAAAGATACAATGTGGTTCCAACTAGCAATTTTGCCACCCTGAAATTTAACATCATACTTTCTAAAATTATTTCGCAAGCACTTCAAAAGGTGAGGCACATCAAAAAGTGTGAATACCTTTTTGTCTTGACATATAATATATGGTCTTTCTTCTGTGACTTTCATAAATTTTTTGTAACAAACTACATTGTTTGCACCACCATCACAAACAACAGCCACAGGTATCAAACCACAATCAAATAATTTTGATAGGGCTTCCATGACCAAAGTACACAACATAAAACCTGGAGTAGTGTGAGAAGAAAAAAAAAAAAATAGCCAATGACCTGTTTCCACTTTTTACACAGCCCACGGACCATAAAAACAAGACCATGAGTTGCATATTCGGGAAACATTTTTAGTTCAGTGTAGGAACCATAATTTTCAAATCCAACAATGTAATCACTTTTCTTATCATAAGATAAGCTTTGCTTTAAAGTGATTTCATCGAAGGATAAGATGCAATACCTGTCATGGATTTTCAGTTTGCTAGCAACTAATTTTATGGCATTGAGCACAGCAACTGAAAATCCAGGTTCCATTTTTATACCAGATACAGCTTTCAATAATGTAGGCTTGCTGGGCAAATGCAAAAAAGCCTTCAGTGTATTATATGATTTTGGACTACTAAGATAGATCTGAAGGCACAAATTTTTATCCATCAGTGACCATCTTCGTCCGTATTTTGACACATTTGATGCTTTTATTTGTGATTTTATAAAAGTGAAAACTACAGAACTAACTAATGAGCTAATCAGCTGGAGTGCCTTTTCGACTCCAGCTTTGTTTGCTTTCCTTTTTGCTGAATGTTTTCGTTTTAAATATGCCAGCTTATGACTTAACTGCCTTATTTTTAAAGATTTTGGTGTTAAATTTTTGTTGCATTTTAATCTTTTTGGCGTCTCGGTGATATTATTTAGTTCTATGGAGTGCTGGTGTGAACCAAGTTCTAGAGAGCCAGAATCTGTTTGTGAAGTGCCAGAATCTGTTTCTGCCAAAGGACTTGAATTATCATCGATATTGATTGCATGCTGCTGCAATTTCGAGCACAACTTCATAGACAGCTGATGAACATTTACAACTCTGTCGTTTCTGGACAGCTCATCAGCTAGGAAGGAAAAAGAAAATTTATATATATATAACAAGACTAATGCATAATATTTCATCTCTAAACAAATAAATATTTAACTAACCTTTAACACGGTTTGACATTTAGTTTTAAGAAAAGAAGTTTTGGTTAATCTTCGGATTATGGTAACTTGGCGATTTTTTGGCGACCAACCCTGCTAGTTTTTTTTTTTTTTTTTTTTTTTTTTTTTTTTGGACGCCATTTTGTTTTGACAAAGTAAAGGCATTTTTTTTTTTTTTTTTTTTTTTTACTACTCAACATTTTTTTCCAACAATTTGCTAGCCGAATTACGCTTATGCTAGAACTTTTATGGAACAAAAGTGCTTAATCATCACGAAGATTAGGTGCGAAATTGGGAGAAAGTGCAGAATCGCCCACTGCTTGCAGCGTTAAGAATTGCACATACACGGTATCATCCATGTATACGTCGATCTATTTTGACTTAAAAAAACATCCCAGAATTGCACAAAAATGGCATTGCGTACACTCTTGACTTTATCCATTTACACTGCTAAAGTCCTAGCTAGTAAACTTTATCGCCTTACCAAAATGTCGCCAAACTACCAGTTACCATATTCCAAAGATTAGCCGAAGTTTTAATTTTATTTTTAATTATCGTTAATTTCATTTATCCTGAGTTTGTAAATCTGATTCAAAGCCTAAAATTATACTTTGCGTAAATATATTCTGCTATATCATATTCTAAGAACATTCTGCTATATCCATAAAGGATTTACTAAGGAAAATTTAATGGATTTTAAAAAAGGGTTACTTTACATTCTCTCATACCAAAATTGACTATGTAAGAAACAGCAGAAGAGTCCTTTCATAATAAATAAGTTATATTATTTATGTAAACAAATGAAATTTCTGTGGGAGATTAAACTAAATTATCCTTCAGAAAAAGATTTATCACTCTTTTTAAAGACAGCAGACTACTCTCTTTCTAAGATAACATAGTAAGTTGTTGATCAGTACAATATATAAGAGGTTAAATTTTTAAAAATTTTTGAAATATATAAACTTGAAATTAATGCATACCTGTTTCACCAAATTTTGTTGGTTTAGCACTCGAATGCAAAAAATGCTTCTTAGTTGTGGAATATGCATTGTCTTCAAAATGTGCGGAACAAAGACGACTTCGATATAAAAGAGAAGGTGGCTTCTTTAATATTTCCTTGTCACGTCCAATCAAGTAAATTCTACATGCTTCAAGCCATTGTGCTGATCTATAAAAGTTAAAACAACATGAAATTTACACCTACTTTACACAGGGAACACTAGTTTTAAGCATTCATTTAAAATGTAACTTATTACTGTGCAAAACAAATACATATTTTAGTTTTTCCAGAAATTTGACATGTAGATAACATTTAAGTACTAATTTATGTACAAAAAAAATTAATATTTATGCATTTTACTCAAACTAATGTTAAATTTTTAAGCATTCTGCTTATGAAAAAATTCATTTTAGCTGATGCATATATTCAACTAATGCTTCTACGATTTTGTAATATTTACATAAATATTTTATTACTATTGTATATATAATTAGGCTAAACAGATAAGGCAACATTGAATATCACACACAAAGTATGTTAATGAATATAACGTTTTCATTTGAAAAGGAATAATTTTTTTAAATAACAGAAAGTTAAAAAAATTTCTTCATCTGTCATACTGTACTTATTTTCATGCATTTTAAATACTTATAACTTAAAATAAAAATAAAATTTTTACCTCTCTGGATTTTTAGGAAACCGAAAGAATTTTCTTTCAGGAAAATACCAAGAATTGGCATTACACACCACACAACGCACATAAGCCTTTGGTGAAGGATCATTTAACCTAAATGAATTATTATTATAAAGATTTAAATCACATCAGTACAGAATATATAAAAATTGAATATAAAAATAAAATATGGATATTTAATAATTAATTTACAGAATACATTTAAGTTGCAAGGTTGAAATAAAATAAAAAAGAGCCAATGAATATCATGACACCAGAATTATGCAGCTAATTTACTTTAATAATTTTATTTTTAAAACTGGAAAAATTATTAAAAAATTAATTTAAAAAATAATTAAAAATTGGGATAATATTGCAGTTCTTAGTAGCAAAAAAATGATATCTGTGAATAGTTTATTATAAAGATTCTTTGATTATAAATAATGCTCAATGTATAGAATTAGAAAATATCATGAACTAAAAAATTGATACCTGGTTAAACGAAAATAGAAGAAGTTGCAATATACATTACATATAACTGCAGGAAAGATCGGATATGAAGAACTGAAATAATTTTCATTAGCAATCATAGTAAATCATCCATGATTGCTTGATTTTATCCTCGCAATTATATACAAATATACTAATTTTGCGTAAGAAGCTTTGATAGAGATTTTTCGAAATACTTCTGATTTCTTTAACAGTAGGAATTATAATTTTTCAATAAAATGTTCCAATGAAACTTTTAACTTTTTTAATGCCAACTTAATTAATAATCGTTCATTACATGATATTTGATTACCATCCCATGTTATGGAATGGATTTGAACATAACTCTGGTAATTAAAAAATAATTCTACTATGAAAAGGTATAAGAATTAAATATTTTTACGTACCTTTCACACGCAGGATCACTAGAGCGTGATTCATTATTTTTTTCCATTTCCAAATGTTCAAAATTGCTGAAATCCTCGTGCTTAGCGTTCAATATGGCGCGCTATGACGACTTCTACGATGTTGTTGACAACCTCTCTGGCTCTAGCGCGCATGCGTGAATGAATTTCAGGGAACCTGAATTTACGCCTGTAAAGTTGTCAAAAAAGACACATTTTAGACTCAGTTTTTCTCCGTGGCGTTGCTGTGCAGTCGAAGCTTGACTTCTTCTCACTATAGATTCTTTGGCAGTCGACAACGGCGTGCCTAAAGGGATTGATGCCTTCATGCAGCAGGACTTTCCAAAAGAAACCGGTTCTTATACACATTACACTTAGGAAAAACCACAAAAACATCCATGCATCCAGGCCCGTACGTCGGGATTCGATTCAGAGACTTGACCGCTCGGCCTATGGTGGCCCATCGATTAAATAGCAGCTGATTAGTGCAGATAAAAAAGATTTATTTCCTATTTTTCACACGAGAATCATTTAGTTTACTGCTGTAATGTTAATAACTTGATACAGGAATTTGGCATTACGCGAAACACAAATAATTTCAGGTTTTTTTTTTTTTAGATCGACTTATCTGAAAGTTCTTTAATCCAAAATTATATGGCAGAACAAATCTGTCGTCATTTCTGGGTGTAGAAACTCAAATTGCTCGGAAGCCTACCCACATTTTTAAACGTTCTTTATGACTCTCATCTTTATAGATGCGTGATATCGATCTGGAATAGCAGAATAATCATTTATGAATATGGGGACTATTGATATGTAAAAATTGTGAAATTAATCCAAGGACACATTTTGTGAATTGTTGGTTTTCGTGCGATATTCTACATTTATTTCGCATGACATCATTTTACTGAATGAAAATGTTTATGGTTAATCACGCTATTTCTCTTGTTTCCATAATTTCGTTTTTAAAGTGTTTAAAGAGCTTAAATCTTATTATTATTTAATAGGCATTCCGATACGATCTGTAGTAGTTTTGGAAGATGATGCTCACCCTGCTGAACTCCAGGCGTGCCATCCAAGAGGAGAATCTAAGTTAGTATTTGTTTTGATATATAAGAAAAATAGACATCATAAAAACTTAAATACAGTTTTGTTCTATCTTCTAATCAAACTATGACTGAAAAAAATTAATACAAGCGTGAGATATAGAATAAAATATTTCAGTTTTTAATGCTTAAGCTATAATTTTATTTATTTGTTTATTTAATTTTCCGTATAAGCTGTGACATTCCTCCCCCATTAAAGAACATAAATTTTTTGTCCACGTTTAATGCTATATCTTAAGTTCTCTTGTTCTGCGTTGTACTTTAGAAGACACTCAAAGGTGTCATTTTTTTTAACCAAGTAGTTGAAACATGTTTAATAAACACAGTAAAAACGTAGTAGATATGTTTAAGGAATTTGCATAGCATAGAAGCTCTGAGGATAAATTTATGTAAAAAATTTCATTAATCATTGAACATGTGATTAAATATTTTCTGAGAAAAAGAAAGTAATTACGAATAAGATGGTTCAGTACAGTCTGTTCTCATTCTAATCACACTGCACATTTTTTTATTTTTAGGATTTTTAAAAAATTTTGTTTAATGTTTTGAAATTTTTATTTATAAATTGCGTTTTTTAAAATGTTTTAACTAGGATAACCTATTTAAAGAGGATTTTTTAAAATTTTATTTTATAATATTTTTTTTTCACAAAGCCTATCGTTTCTCTCGAGTACCTCCCCCCTTTCTTTAAATAATTATTGAAAATAGTCTTTTGTATTGGTAGGTTTCTTCTACATCTTTTTTGTAAAGTTTAGCCATTAAAAGTTTTTGTTTCCGATTTTTGTTGTTATAAAGCATTCTTGCATGTGCTACGTCTGATTTTCAAATTTTTCAATGTGTACTTTTAAATTTCAAATATTTCATGAAATTTTTGTAGATTTTAATATTAGCCATTAGTGTAAGCAACAGTTATAGATATGTTGTTGAGTAACGAATCATATGTTTTTATTGAATGTTTAAGAATTATTCTTACTGAATATTTAAAGTTGAATCATTGGGAAGAAACATTAGTTTTAGTTTGCTGTAACATAAAACATTATTCGAAATGCATTTTATGTTAAAAATTATCGATTGCTCATTTTATGCCATATTTATTATTTTCATATTGATGATAATTTTACATAAATCGCAATTTTTTTCCTTTAATAGATTTTCTATGAAAATGAGAAGAGGTGGTCTTGTGAAGGTGTTCGGCGGTAGTTGTTTGATGGCTGGGGTAAGTTTTATGCTTTTTATTAAGTTCTTACTTGCAATAACGTTAGTTTATGTGCATACTTTATAGTTAAAAATCTGTCGCTTGACGTAAAAGAAGAAACTAAAGGAAGCCATTTGCAGTTGCAAAAGCATTATGGTATATGCTTTTGGAATATATATTATGGATCCGGGGTTCGAGTCCCGGCGAACGGGCTGCATATTTCACAAGTGCACATCTGCGTAGCCACCGAGGGAGTGGCTTCTAGGCTGGACCAATGGGCATACAGTAATATTTCTGTCATGTCACATGACCTTTCGCGTGCTTTAAGGTTTAAACAAGATGGTTGAAAATATTTTGCCACGCAATTTTCTGTACAGAATAATTAAAGCAACGTCGATTTTTTCTGAAAGTCTTCATTGTAAATTTAGATCAAATATAAACAATTCTGAAGATTTCACTATCTGGTTGAAAGAATTTGAAATAAATACAACACATATTTGACACTCCAAAAATATCCATGTGAAAATTACTAATAAAGGTAAATAAGATGAAAAAAAAATGTTGATGAACATCTGATCCCAAATGCTATCTTTCCATAAACTATGCATATTAGAAAAATATTTACACCAATTATATATGTAATAGAAGTCAGCACTTTTTTATTATTGCAATCTATATGAAAAGATGTTCTATAGTAGTAGCCAATGCAGAATTTTATCAAAGTGAACTTTACTAATTTGCATTTGTATTCATTTAGTGTGTAAATTTCACATTTAAAAACTGCTCACTCTTAAATATACTGTTTACACAAGAAATACTCAGCAAACACTTTCAGTCCTTCTCAGCTCAATTAAAAAACCTATACACTGGAATTCTGTTAATCCACAGGTGTTAGTAAATGCGTAATATTCGAAGCTAATTGTAGCGTGAGTCATTTTCTTAATGTAAAGAACCATAATCCAAATAATAATGCGTGATAAAAATCGCGAAAGTGAAGCGTCAGCAATTAAGTAACTCATAAACGAAATTACTACGAGATTTTCTGCTATTACGCCGTACATTTATAAAACTGGGAAACAAATGCAAATTAAAAAACATAAACAACATATGCTCACATGCACGAAGATTTAGCGTCATAAGGGTAAGAAAGCCAATTGGTCCACTTTTCGAAACTCCTCCCTCAGTGGCTACGCTGATGTGCACTTGTGAAATATGCGAACGGGCTGGCTGCATGGGCGTTTTCATGGTTTTCCCCATGTGTAACGTGGATACGAGCTAGTTTCCCTTAAGAAGACCTCCACGGGTCATCCCTCCCTTTCCGTGTAGTGCCTAAGGGCGGAGCACACGTAAAAAGAAAAAAGAAAAAAAAAAAAAAAAAAAAAAAAAGATTTGGTTATTTGTGTTATCAGCCTTAAAATGTTGTTTTCTCAAAATAAGGTGTTCGTGTAAACCTTAATTTGCATATTTTTAGAGCATTTGGTAAAGTTATCTAATTTCTTTAATGGACTGTGTCTCTGAGAAATTACTTTTCCTTAGAGCAGGATTCTCCAAACTACGACCCAGAGCACTATCAATCCGGACCGCCAAAAGTTTTTAAAAAATAATTTCATAAAATTTAAAATAAAGTAGCATACAAATTAACTATTTTTATAACAACCAATTTATAAATGCATTGTCTGTCATGCACGTTTTTTATAAAACATTATACAATCGTTTCTAAATTTACAATGAGTGAAATACAGTAGCATTCTATTAAAAAAAATGTTGTAGTACTTTTTACGGGAATAAAGGTTTCTTGTGTTATCTTTACCTACTTCCATAGTGGTATTTTAGATTTGTTCATAGAAATTTTCGGCAATGATCATGTTTGAATCTTAATTCTTGTAAGAATATTTTTGGAAATGTTCAAACAATTTTAAAAAATTTGTTGGGAGATACTGCAGGAAAGTTTCAAAAACAAGGCTGTTCGTAATATCATAGTTGTATAGATCCAATGGCAAAAATCTCGTTGCCTTGTTTAAAAGCATGTGTATTCTGTTCATTTCATTGTGGTTAACTAATTAGGTCTTGGCCCTCGAAATTTCGTCAAAGAACCAGTACGGTCCGCGGACTAAAAAGTTTGCAGACCACCGCCTTGGTAAACATATTTCTTGGTTCATGTAACATAAATGGTTCTTAAAAAATTTTAAGTCTAATTGTTGCTTAAATGATATAAGCTTATATATTATTTTCTGCATTAAAAATGGTGTGTTTAATTTTTTTTTTTCAGTCTTTGTATAAAAGCCTGCTCGTTTCGGACCGGACGTGTGTAGCAGAGCTTATACAATTAGTACTCCATTGCTATAATTCAACTGAACATCAGGAAAAATTCTCAATTTATGAAATTTCTTGCACCAAAGATTGTAAGTATATTCATATAGCTAAAAATACATTGTAATGTTAAGTTCGTGCTGTGTGCCCTTTTTTTTATGTAGGTGGATCCAAAAAAGGTTACAAGCATCAGTATTTGAAAAATAATTATTATGGAGGAGCTACTCTATCTCCAGAGGTAGATAGATGGCGCTAGTTGTCTAGCAGCGGTTGTGAGTGTAGGTAGAATAAGTTTTCATACGTGTAAAAGGGCCCACCAGCGGCCGAGCGGTAAAAGTCGCTGAACACTGGTAGTTTGGTCCGAGATTCGAATCCCGCGAAAGGGCTGGCTTCGTGGTTTTCCCCATGTGTAACGTGTATACGAGCCAGTTTCCCTTAGAAACTCCTCCACGAAGGCATCCCTCCCCTTAGGCAGATAGCCCTCGAGTCTTTGCCATAATCACACACACACACACACACATACGCGTAAAAGCGATCAAAACGCCAAGACGGTTAGAAAAGTGGTCTCGCTTGGAGGTGCGACCCGTGATTCGTTGTCCTGATCGAGTATCTGGAGGGTGGCCATATCGTTTCTGCCCATCCTTGTTGTGCCACGTAGGTTATATGAAGCCATCCGACGCAAGCGCCGTGGCATGTTGAGTGATTGTGTTACCCTCCTGCATGGCAATGCTCGGCTCGGCCACATACTGCTCGCCAAACTCAAGAATTGCTGCAAAAGTTTAAGTGGGAAATCTGGAGTCACTCCAGGGACTATTTTCTTTTCTCCAAAACTGAAGGGACATTTATCTGCAATGAGGCTCACTTCAGACAGTGATGTGAAAATAGCCTCTGAGGACTGAATGAGCAGCGACGTGATTTCTGCAAAGCCGCGTTAAACAGGAGGACATTAAAAAAGCTTGGTTAAACAGTTATTCCTGCATTCAGATAAATGTCTAAATAGATTTGGTGATTATGGGGGAAAATGATAGTCCTTACCTCTTAATTCCTGATGATGATACCTCTTCATTCCCTTATGTATTTTTTGTCTGTTATTTATAAATAATTTTGTATTATCCTTGTAACTTTTTTTTTGTTTGTTTGGATCTACCCTCGTATATCATTGATGCAGAAATAAGTTGAAGCCGTTTTACGTATTATTGTTGTTGATATTATAAAAATTACTTCCAAATAAGGGCTGTATTTTCTTTTTATTTTAATGTATGTTAATTATATAAAATTCTTGCAGATGAAAGGAGGCTGCACTTGAATGAATATCCTCTTCAGATTCAACAAGAGTGGCCCAGTAATGAACATTTTGCTTTCCAACTCAGGCGAAACATTGAGGGTATCCCAAGACGGGTTAGTAAATACAGTAAATTATTTCATAAGAAACATTATGTCTTCATTTTCTCATATTATCCAACATACATGTTCATTGATAACACAATAAGATAATATTATATATATGCTTGGTCGAAACGTCGAACGTAATCAATAACAGATTGTAAAAATACTATCGTAAATTAAATTCTAATAGTTATATTAGTATTAATATAGAATGGTATAAAAAATAAATATATAATTTCTTAAATCGCTCCACGAGGTCTTTTGATCACTGCCTATGACCATCACATTGCAAAAGTGTCTTATTCTATTTTAATTCTATTTTAAAAAAGTGAAGTTTCTTTAGAATTATGGCCTCATTTTTCTAGAGGTCTTCTACAGAATTCCATAAAACACTATACTTAGCTTCTGTAGGGATTTCTATAAAATCAAATTCCTAACGGAATTTATAAAATTATGTATGTTGCTTCTATTGAGATTATATAGAGATATATGGTGATACTGTATAGAAATTTCTACAGAATTCTAAAAAAAAACTTATTTGTATGGTAGATGCTTTAGGTATGTAGGTATTGCTGGTATACTATAAGGATTTACACAGAGATTTCTGTAAGACTCTGGATGTAGTTTTTATAGAGATATGTATAAAAATTCTTTAGTGATTTATGTAGAGATTCTATAAAAAATTGTACAGTTTCTCAAAATCTCATGTATAGAATCTTATGTAATGTGTACAGTATGTATGTGTGTATAAATTAATTTGTTTTATAAAATCAACTAATAGAATACTGCTCAAGCTATCAGATACAGTTCACAGAAAATCGGGCCATAATTCTAAACAAGTTTCGGAGCTTTCAATTTCTCTAAAAGCTTAAAGAGCCTGTTGAATATTTAAAAGCTTTATGAAATAATTTAAAAAATTTGGGAATTACATTCACGTATCTACATACTCGGTGATATGGCATATTCGCAAGAACATTATTTAAATATTATTGCGTGCGTACGTTTTCGTCATGCATTGAATGCAGACAGAACTAATGATGGCTTGATAAAAAAAAAAAAAAAAGATTGTCCCCCCCCCCCCACAAAAAAAATCTTTACAGCTTTGGAACTTTTCACAAAAGTACTCATACAGCTCTTCTCAACTGAGTCAACAACAAAGAACTGAGTTTTCTCCCGGCTTATATAGTTTGAAAGCTGAGAAATCTCTAGTACCTACATATTGTTGAAATTGCTGGAAAGCATATACGATTGAAGTTACCTGTAAGAGACGGATACGGTTACAATTGGGAACAATTATAGTACTGATTACAGTTATACAAGAACTAGACCAAAATAGCGCTGAGTTTGGCAACTATTTCTCGCAAAATTTGGCGACAAAAGCCATCGCCAATGTGGCGAAATCTCTCCAATTCAGCGAGATAATCTTTTACTTCAATGTTAAATGAAACTTCACCCTGTAACCTTATTTTTCCGGCATAACTTCGATTTTCAAGCATTTTGTGTTACAATATACAAAAGATAGTACAATTTCACATATGATTTCACTAAAGTTATTTACACATATACAAAATTCATAACATTATCCTATTCCCAGAGATATCACGTCCCGAGCAGTGCAATCTCTGGACAGGAAGCCATACTTAACACTAAAGCAAATCAATGCAATATTGAGAGAATAATTTCAATAAATAGCATACAACAAAACAAGAATTAAATGCATGTATTTACAAATTTCTATACAAATAGGACCATAGGCTTTACATTATATGAACTATGGACTCCTGTGTAGCTCTTTAAGGACGTTTGGGAGCCGGGATCTATTTTGGAAATATCAGCTGCTATTGGAATGCTTTTCCATCACCTGATTCAAACTTCCGGCACAAGACGCTGTTTCGAATATGGGGAGAGTCTCAGACAGCCCAGTATTATTTTGTCGTATTTAGGTTAGGTATTTGAATACCACAAAGCCACAAGGCCTATCTATCTTCGTAAGAGGAGAGATGCTTTCGGGGAAGACTTTCTAAGGGAAACTCGTATTCACGTTATACCTGGGGAAAATCACGAAAACCACCATGCAGCCAGCCACCTGGCTTGGGTTCGCCTGGGATCGAACCCAAGCCAGGTCGAACTAGCAGTATTCAGCGGTCTTAACCCTGTTAGTAACTGCACTTCAAACTGCTAATAATTTTAAACACAACACAATGCAAAGTGCATGTAAAAGGCGAAGTTCTCACGGAGATATCTTAGTACTCCAAATGAGCTCTAAACTAAAATACTGAGAATTGATGCTGTCTCTGGACATATAGTTTTCCTTTGGCCGACAAGAAATCTCTAGTAACTTTCATTTCTTGGAATTACCAAAAGAAAATACGGTTCAAGTTACATATAAGGGCCGGATATAGTTACATGTAGTAATAAATTGCAGTTGTTCGATTACAGTTATACAAAAACGAGACCAAAATGTTGCCCAAACGGTCGCGGTTCTTGGAAATCTCTTGCCAAATTTGGAATTAGTTGCTACTCGCCCAAACCATTGTCAGCTGAGCGATATCTCTCCAATTTAGCAACACAGCCATTTACCTCAATGTTTAATAGGCTTGCTCCTGTAACCTTATTTTTCCGATAGATAACAATTTTTGTGTAATATTTCACTATAACAATTTCACATAAAATTTGACTTACATATAAACAAAATTCGTAACAATATGCATACTTTGATTTTATGCTTATATCCCATCATCTGTGTCATAAATAAAAACTATTACACTACGCAAACAATGTTTTTTAACAGCTATATCAATGTATTATAAAATATGATGATGATCAGATTATTATTATCAGGCAATTCATTGATTTGATTTAAAAATTTAGTTGAGTAGTTCATATGTGCAGTTAAATGTAAGATAGGTAATGTTGTATTAGGATTAAATGATCTGTTTTTTGCAAGGCGTTTTTTGTTTAGTTTTTTTTTTAGTGTTCACTATTTTTTCAATATTCAATTTTTAACATTTATTTCGTGGAAGAATCACTTTTGTGTAATATTTCACTACATCATGTATTTTATTTATTATGAAAAGGTTTCATAATTTCAAGTTAGTATTTCAACTTTGCCATTAGAAAATGCATCATGTGCCCTTTCTTTTCCTGAGCTATACCTAATGCTACATAGATATCGATTTTATTAAATAACCTATTTAAATCAAACTGATGAAAAAAAGTGTTCCTTAAAAACATCACGATTAGCACTTAAGAGTGAGTAGTTCATGCTACTTGCTATTTAACCAAATAAATACATAGCCCAGACTGATGTACATATTTGATACTATAATAGAGAAGTGAAAATTTAGCCCCTTTACACTGTATTTTTCATATTAGAACAATTACTAAATCAACAAAAAAAATCTCTTTCCTGTAGCATTCGTATCCCAACATTCATCTCGGTTTTAGTTCATGATTTGTAGGAAAAAGAAGATAAACATAGTGGCGTTTCACACCAATTTTTATAATAAGGAAGTTTGTTTTGAGTCTGATGATGCTTTTTTCCCATGACCAAAAACGGATTACAAGTTTGCAAAAATTTCACTTTCTTCTTTTGATTGCAGTTTGAAGGCTGCTTGAATTAGAAGCAATAGAATGATATGTGGTTACCATTTTTTTTTCAGTAAGCCAATCATTATATTTTATCAAATCACATAACATATAATCTATCAAGTCATTCATTATTTTTAAAATTGCAATAGCTTTAATTGCTTATCATCTTTGAGATTAATTCAGTCAAAAGCTAATGGTTTCATTTTATTCAGTACGAACTCAAAAGTGCCTTTCAAAACTGTTTTCATCTGAAGTATGTTTGTAAGTCACGAGTTTTAGTGATTCTTGAAACATTATTATTAATTGCTTTTTATTATTATTATTATTATTAATATAGCTTCCTTGGTTGCAAAGTCATGAACCATCTGGTAAAGCCAACTTGCAGTGGCTGTATGGGAGGAGCAGTCTGGGCCTCCATTCTTTAACAGAATCTGATGATGCTTTCAACACATATGAGAATTGTTTCTACATATGAAATAACTAGTCTACTTTAAATATTTGAGAAAATGGCCCTGAGGCAGCTAAACATTGTGCTACATTAAAGCTTATTGTTCTGCTTTACTTTGTTGGAGAACTATTTTTATGCAAATTGTTTTACATGATCAAAAGTCCATAGATGCTACCAGTTCCAGATCAGAATGTGGCAAATATATTAATAAAAAAATTAAAACACCAATGGTACTTTTTTAAAATTAAGTTTATGATTAGCACAGGGTCTTGAGTCTTTTTGTAGTCATATTGCTTTTACAATAATATGCTTTTGTAATTTATTGCTGATGATTAATTTAAGTACAACATTAATTATAGTAGTACAACATTAATTATAGTGTTGCAATCTAAATTTCTTATGCATTTTTTATTTTAAAACAGTTTGCTTTTTATTAGATTTATTGTCTTCAAAATTATATTATGAGCCTCAATACTTTTGTGACCTAGTCATATTATATTATTCTCAATTTTTCTCTTATTTTTAAATATATACAGCATTTAAGCGAAAAGAAATCTATTTTGTTTGCTGTTTTCTAATGTGACTTTATATGTGTAGTTTTTTAACGGTATAATATTCCAAAGTAATATGTTCTTAATATTAGGGAGGAGAAAAATTCAAGACCCTGTTGGTTTTGTTTGTTTATTTGGTTTATCTTTATGTTTAAATTTAAGTTTTTCTTTACTATCATTACGATTTGAAATTGAACTTCATTCATTAGCTTAAATTATAATTATTTTATTTGCAATATATAAAAACAAAAAGTGACTGAAATTGTTTTGAGATTAATGATCTTGAAACACAACAATCATTCATATCAAGGAAAGTATGTAAGAGAATTTGCATGCTTTTTTAAATACCTATATCAAAATGCCACAAATATTTATGTAATAAATAGTTTTTGTAAACAGGTAGATTTGATAAAGCTCTTATTATTTCTAGATTTTGTTGTAGAATTTAAAATTTTTTTAAGGATATATTGTTATCCCAGAATGGAAAAAACTGCTTTTGAAATGATGGCAATGTGTCTGATCTGTAAATTTGATAAGTTTTGTTGCCCTAGTGTGATAAAAAGCCAAAGTCAACATTTTTATAAAGAGCTCAAAATATATGTATGTATTTGTACCTTCAGTGTAAGTTGTATCTTACTCTGTAATGAGCAGTTGTGATTTTGTGGTACAAAGCTATTTTATATCTCTGACTTTTTTTTTTATCACAGCTTACCCAGCCATAACTTGGCGCTTATTTGGAGAACAATTGTATTAAATTTGCTTGAATATTATTAATTAGGCATTATTTAATAATTAGAAGTTTTTCAAAATTTTTAATGCTTTCATTCATTAAAAATATTTTTGTAAAAACTCTTTATATTATAATTTCAAAGAAAAAAGAAGGTTGAAGGCATATTTTAGATTTTTCTGAAAAATCCATTTTAAGCATAAATATTAATAAAAATTAATTATTTTTGTTAACGGTGTATTTAGAATAGAGCTGTAAAAGTGTTTTAATATTTAAAAAACTTTGCTATTGCTCTCATTTTTCTTGAAAAGTAACAAGTTTATGACATGTTATTTCCTGTGGAAATTTTTTATGCTCAGAAATTTTTCTTGTGTATGTATATATATATCTGTACGATACTCATCAAACCAAAGTTTTGTGTATTGTTTTCGTGATATTCTTAGAATGAAGTACTGTGTATGTATATATATATATATTTATATATATACACACACACAGACATATATATATATGAACATAAATCAGTCATAAGGCAATTCTGAATAATTATTCATCCATGTGGGACTCTAATTTGTTTGTTTCGTGTGAATAATTAAATTGATTATAGCACTTGTATGTAAATGACACTGATCTCCATTATGATGCAATTTTTTTATGTGCAACAAAAACTTTGTTGTTGCATTTTGTATATATTTTGTATAGCCAGTTGAAAATGTTGAAGTACGTAAAGTAAATATGTGCACATTTATCTGTTCAAAGATTTCATTGCATATTGCATTAGAAAGCAAAATTAATTAATTTCATTAATTTATTACTGTATTTATATTATAAATGATAGCAAAAAATTCTGAATACGTTGAGTATAAGAAATTGTACATGTTATAAATAATATGAAAGAGTGTAGCTAAACTAGTCTGCGATCATGAGACATATTATGCATTCATAATTTTGCCTGCTTCATAAGTTTCATGAGAAAATGGAAGTTTATTTTAAGCTTGCATAAGTGCAACTCCAGATGTTATTTTCAGCAGCTGCGTAATCCACTAAATGTTCCATGCACTACATGTGTGTTTACCACCCTTTCTATAGATAGTTTGGACACTGCTTTAGTAAATATTTAATTGTACTACTAAATTAAAATTTTTATTACATTAGATATAGACTTGCTAATATTCTTTACATTCCGTTTAAGCTCTGCACTGTAAATATTTTATATAGGTTACACGAGTATAATTTCTAATTATTCTTTCCTTTTATTACTTCTAAATTTTACTTTGATAACTTAACTTATTGCTGTAAATTAAAAAAGTTATAACATTTTTATTTCCTGTACCTGTCATTCCAATCTATAATTATCATAAGGAAAAAGAATTAAAACTTATATTGGGACTAAATGCTAAAAGTATTTCTTTTAATTTATTGCAGATCCCCCTTCCCCCCCTCAAAAAAAATTCCTACGAGTTTTGAGTGTTCGAGTGAAATAGTAATTTCAGATTTGGTGCTGAGGAACTGTATGTGGTATTTTTGGCATCAAAATTGGAAATGTTGTCCTTGTATATATAAATATCAAGGTATTTACATTTCTTTACTCAGTATAAGCTGCATGCTGGTATGAAATTTTTTTTATAAAACTTAAACGACTTTGCTATGACTATTGGGAAACAATACTGGCATCTTCCCACTTTGTGAATTTCTCCAGTTTTTGGTTAACTAAAAAAATGGTTTACACATTCTTGAAAAATAAATGAGAAGTGAAAATATCATTCATCATTTTCTTTATGCAGTGGTTGCAGCTAAACTTAATTTCATAAAATTACAGCGAAGTGTAAGTCTTGCAAAATATTTTAATTGCCCATAAAAAACTATGTGGTAAAAATGTCAGCCGTCTTAACAGCTAAGTGTACTGACTTACCTCAGCCTTTCATTTAAGGTACAGAGTATGACTCTAATCTGAATTTGAAGTAGGAGCAGGCAAGCATTGAAATTTTGCACACAGTGCCTTATTGGATACAAAAAGCAATGAGATATTAATAGATGGTCGTCATACTGCCTTGTAGCTGTGTCTCCGACGATTCAGCTTAAAATACCATCATCATTGTCATTTCCTCCGAGTCTTGTAATTGTTGTCTTTTAAGTTTTGTTTATGAAACTATACTGTAGATATACATAATTTTTATTCATGTGGATTGTGATTATTTCTATTATATGGATTTTATTGAACCATTCTTTCATTTAGTGTTATGTAAAGTTTTTCTTTTTTAACACATAGAAGCGCCCAAAATCGTTTTTGATAAAAATTAATGGCAACTGCTTCACTTTAAGCCATCTGTGCTCGTTGCACTTTCTTAAAGAGGAGGAGCCTTTACTTATAGAAGTTACTATTTGCATAAAGTGAGCAATAAGTTTGCGTACTATATTTATGATTTGAAAATTGATTATACAGTCAAAAGTCTTTAATCCGGACGTCCATAATCCGAAATGATCTATAATCCGGAACTCAAAGCTACAAACTTTCTGAGCATGTGTAAACGCATAATGTATTTACGCATGCACATATGCGTTTCCGCATGCGCGTAACACCTTTACGCACACACACAATACGTTTACGCATGCGCATTTTATGTATAACGGACGGTATAAGCTAAGCTAAAATTATCTATTTCAGTTAATGTTGCAAATTGCGTTGTTTCTTAATCTTCGAATAGGATCCGGCTTATTATTTTTTGCAGACTGTTAGAGCAATTTTATAAAAGTAAGCTTGAACTTTCGATTATGTCAAAAAGAATTTCCGATTCTGGAGCTGCCAAAGGATCTACAAAGCGAAAGCATGTTTCGATGTCCATCAAACAAAAAGTGGAATTGCTGCAAAAAATGGATAAAGGCATATCTTTTGTTTCTCTAACCATTCCGAAATCTGTTTCAATTTCCGCTGCTCTGCAGGGGGGGGAACATCGCGGCGCGCAATGAACTGGAAGTTGATGTCAGCACTATCCTTATCTTCAGGGGCAGATGTTTTTATTTATTCGGCTTATAATTCCTTACTAAATGTAGTATTTCATCTCAATTGTACTCCGTCTTTGATATGACTTAAATCAGATTCCTGTCATTATAAATATCGAATGCACATCAAATAGTTTTCTGGTTGCAATTTTCTAATTTCGACTATGCGTAATGTATGCTTACGCATGCGCGCGTTGAAAAAGAAAGTTTAATAAAGTAAACAATAAATATTAAGCTTTTTTTTTGTAAATTTGATATCTTTAGATCATAATTGCCCTTTTTCATAAATTACTGTTTCATATTTTAATTTTTTATAATTTCTGTGCCATCTTACCAGATTTCAATTGATGATCTACAATCCGGAATCGCCGAAGTCCCGACGAGTCCGGATTAAAGACTTTTGACTGTATAAATTTTCATGTTTCCTTACACTTCTGAATGTGTAATGTTAGTGAAATGTGTCCTATAGGTACCAAATATTTATTAATTTCTAAGATAGAAGTAGCAGTTTTAATTTCAAAACAACTCATTTGATTCCCTGTATGTACCAAAAATTATGCAGGTATAACAACATATCCTGATATTTTCTGCATATTAAATTAAAGTATTTCGAAATGAAATGAAATTATAATTGTGTTCAAATGTGTGGGGGCTTCTTTGTTATGTATGGTATTGTAGCTTTTCCTTTTTAATATTATGCCTTGTATGAAAATTAAATCATGTTCACTCATTTTTATTATAAACTTTATTTCAGTTGCTATTAGTTTAATATTAAAGCATAAGTAGCCCACATTTCTTGAAATTTGAAACAATTTACATGCTTTCCAGAACTGTCAGTTAATTACCTCACATGATTTATACTCTTCATAAGTAAATGGTGATGATTTTGTGATAAATTCTGACTGTTGGATTTTATTTTGGTGTGACTGTGTTTTATACTATAGCCATTTTCTTTATATAATTAAGAATTTATTTTTGTAAAGCTTTAATAAATATTTCTTTACTTTTATGTGGTGCTCTCAGTAGATAATCCATGATTACAGTTGATGTTTGAGGATATGTAAGAAAAGATTTGTTTATTTTTTGTACATTTTGCGTTCATCATTGTTGCAGTGTAAAATATAACATTTAAGCATTTAACTAAAAAGTAAATAAAATATTTTGATATCCTTTCATTTTTATGTATCAATTATACATGTCTTGTGTACTTAAAACTTTAATTCTTACTTAAATTTATGATAAGTAAGCTAAATGTCAATTCAGAAAGACCTAAATTTATGAAAAGGAAACTAAAGATTAATCTGGTCTAGCTTATTATGCACAGTTTCTGTTTGAATATATGCTTTGTTTCTTTCTTCCTTCCATAGTTTATCTTTTCTAACTGATTTTTTGTAATCTCATCAGAAAATTGATATTTAAGATTAGTAATATAATGGTTATTATGGCACTTAAGAGATAATTCTTTAAGATTTAGGAAATACACTTATTGTTTTGAATTAAGTTATTCTTCACCATTAACACTAGCATTATACCACCATAAAACTAATTTTTTAAAATAAATTTTAAAAAACTCGAATTAATGCAATGCAGTGCCTCGAGATCACAAATGGAAACGTCATTATTACTACTTTTTGGTTATTGCGAATGCAAATGTTTTTATCAAAACAAAATGATGTAATTCCAGTCTTATAAATCTTCAAGAAAGTTACTTATAAAGAAAAAAACGTGTATTCAGTCCACTTATAATGCAGTTCATGAATCAGTAATGGTGCTTTTAATTGCCAAGCTCATTCACAAAGAAGTGAAATATTACTATGTATATCACAGAATCCATCACATTTCAGTCTATGGTTTGTAAAAGTTCCTATTTCTCAGCTATTGAAAATTAACACCATTCCTAATTCCTAAATATATGAAAATGCTATTGCAGAATTCATTAGTACAATGATAAAAGTAAGGTGAATGACATAAACTCATCTTCAGTGGTAAGAACAGTAGAGGTATTAGAGGTAGAGGAAAAGCAAATTAACTAATCATAAAGTGTAAATTCGGCTTACATTCAAAGTGTATATCATAATCTCAGTAGGAATCACAGATAATGTATCAACTTCTTTTTTGTCAGTTTTCATTCTAATAGCCTATAATAGTAGTGTTACATGCTTACGAGCATCTAAGAGCGAAGCTTGCAGGGACATCTCTCAATACCCCGAACTCGTCTCTGGACACAAAACTGATAACTATTGATATCGTTAATGTTATGACGAGATATTACGAGTTTCACAGTGGGTCTGGCTCACTAAAAATGTTGCACTAAAGGCGCATCACGTAAAAATACGTGATGCGCCTTTAGCGCAACATTTCTAGCATATTCTCCTAGGTTTGAAAGATCTGTAAGGTTTATGCCTTTTACTACTGTAAAATGCGACTAACCTTTTGGTAGACTTTAAGCGACTTATCGCACAGAAATTTGCAAAGGGTGTAAAAGACCCTTTATTTAACTCATTAAGATGAAGATAAGGCACCATTTCACGTGCTTACAAAATCGACCAGCACTTATGGCGAAGAAACTCAAGGTAGAAATTCAAATCTAAATTAAAATAACTAATAGCCAAAAGATACACCAGAGCATTAGCCCGAATTCACATGCGGGAATTTTAACTATCGGCAAGTAGCAACGCCGAAGACGAGAACTCTTAAATAGAATAGCAAAACAAGTAATGTGGCCTTCAAGCCGTAAAACATGCTTTGTCTTAACAATCTGAGACCCTCACTTAAATATACGCAAACTAATTTGCATTCTGGCGGGAAAACGGAAAGAAAGAAGTTACAGTACAGGTTCAAAACATAAAAATACAAGTTAAACAAATTAAATAACCTCACATCCTTCATGCCAGAAATTAAATAATCGCAACCAGGTCTAACGACCAGCTGCTCTGCTTCCAGTTATTGGAAGGAAAAAGATTTAACAACAAATTACTATTCACATCATTTTCCTTTTTAAAACATGTCCAAATCTTTTTCAATTACATTTATCAGAAACTTTCATGCAGCTTCATTTCTAGGTAATTTTTCATTCCCCATTTCTTGTCAGCAAATGGTGGAAATGTACTAGCAAATGTATTTGACAAGTATCAAGTACCCCTAAAGCCCAAAAGCCGTTAATGTGAACATACGTAACTAATTGAGATTAATGATTGGCTCGTTAACTTGCGGAATCAATAGTTTTCTGCATTTACCTAGGTAACGTGCACATTGAGGGCTTCCGTACAATACTGACAAATAGGGCGAGCCCCATCCACCCAATCGAAAGATTTATGACAACAAGGCTGCGCAAGTAAAAAACAAAAAAAAAAAAAAAAAAAAAAAAAGAAAATATTATATATAATACATAATTATACATGAAATATAATAAAATACATAATTAAAAAAACGCATAAAATACACACATAACGCAGAATAAAATTATGTAACATTCATATAAAACCAATATCAATTTAAATTATTGTAACACAAATTTAAAAAAAAAACTTTATCAAAAAAAAATACCAAATCAGAGCGAATATTTAGAAAACACAAGTTCCTGCAAATTTAAATTCTTTCAGCACTTTAAAAAACTTAATAAAATTATATTTTTTTCGTATGTATAAGTAAGTGTACTCTTCCACATAGTGCCTTGCCGATCCGCAACTCACAATTATGAAATCTTATCTCTGTATGCGAAATCTTTAAGTACACCGGGAAGCCCATGTCCAGTAAAATTTGATTAAAATCCAAATGACAAGAAATACTTTTTAAACATAGGTTTTAAATAATAGGCTATTCTTTCTTATTCGAATTATTCCAATTATCATACCACAAATAAAAATATGTTTTTGATTTAGTAATAACCATTTCTGAAGGC